AGATTTTTAAGGGAAGGAAGATTAGGACCCAGAAATGCACAGAAGAAAGATCATGGAGAGATAGAGGAAGATGGTGTTCCCTGGTAGCTCAGACGGTAAAAGAATCTGCCTGCAATGCAGGAGACCCAGTTCAATCCTTGGGTCAGGAAGATCCCCCTGGAGAAGGGAATGGCAACCTACCTCAATATTCTTGCCTGAAGAATTTCATAGACAGGAGCCTGGAGGGCTACAGTCCATGGGGTTGCAAAGAGCTGGACACAACTGAGCGACTTAACACTTGCCTTGACTTGTGACCACCTAAGCCCAACGAGAGGGGTTCTAGAAGAAATCAGCTTTGCTGACACCATGATCTTCGAATTCTAGCCTCTGGGACTATTAGAAAATATATTTCTGTTGTTTAAGTAACAGACTGTTATACTTTGTTGTGGCAGTCCTAGAAAATTAACATTTATATCTACTTCATTCCATTTTTTCCCATGGTATCCTATGAAGAACAAATAACTATCACTTTCCCTTTTTTATAGAAGGTGAAAGTAAGACCCAGAAATAACATTTGAAGGAGAAAATCAAGCCATTGATCAATGTGATTAAATACAACCTAAAAAGGCAAATCGGAGAAGGCAATGGCACCCCACTCCAGTACTCTTGCCTGCAAAATCCCATGGACGGAGGAGCCTGGTAGGCTGCAGTCTATGGGGTCACTAAGAGTCGGACATGACTGAGAGACTTCACTTTCATTTTTCACTTTCATGCATTGGAGAAGGAAATGGCAACCCACTCCAGTATTCTTGCCTGGAGCATCCCAGGGACGGGGGAACCTGGTGGGCTGCCGTCTATGGGGCCGCACAGAGTCAGACATGACTGAAGCGACTTAACAGTAGCAAAAAGGCAAATATAATCTGAGGCAAAGGCTCTGTAGCCTGATACTCATATATTAAATACATTTCCAGTTACCTGTGTAGCCCAGGAAACTAAGTTTAATTGTCTCTTTTGTGTCAAGCATTGTGATCTGTGTTGAGGATGCAGAGAGAAATAAAGCATGGTTCTTGCTCCAAAAGCTCTTGGCCTTTTAGAGATAAGGCACACAAAATAGATTCCTTTAATGTGTTGTAATGGACACCCATCTAATTGTCAGAACTCTAGACACAGACATGATTGACTCTGTTGAGGATCAAGAAAGCCGTTTTAGATGAAATGATGACTCATCTGAGACTTGAATCATGAGGTTGTCAGAATAATGGCCGAGAGCACCTCAGATGAAAACAATGTCACATGTTATTATTTAGTTACCAGCTGGGCAGATAAGCAGATGACCAGAGAATGCGAACTGAAGCAGGCCTTAGCCGTTTAAGGTTTTCATCCAGACCAGCTGTGCTCAGGAATTGCTCCCCTGAGCACAGCCCGGCTACCTCCAGCTCAGTTACCTGCAAATTGTGGAAAACCCATCAATCCTGATGATAGACTGACTAACTAAACAACTGCCTTATATCTGCCCATTTATTTTTAATCTGGGCTGATAATACTACCAACCTCTTCCCTGCGGAGTATATATGAAGATAAATGAGGTAATTTATGCCATAAGGTTCCAAATTCCTTAGAGAAAAATGTTCAAATAAATTTACAGTCATATTATATATTCTTTAATAAATATTTTATTGGATGTGCATAGCATATCCATGATCCCTTAAGATTTAGGGGGAAGATAGCCAAGAAAAGACCTGTAAGCCTTAAACTGCCAAAATCCCAGAAGATAATTTAAGCAATGCGTTAAGTAAGTAAGTTGACCTATTTCTCATTTTAAGGGCAGAAATAAAATTACCATTCATGTGTAGGAAAAGGTTTCCTTCCATGCTAAGTATGAGTAATATTCACATAAAGCTTTCTCTTTCTTGAGAAATACTTCTAAGCTGAGCTAATTGTGCATGAAAGAAACTCAGACAAATACAAAAGCACAACCATGAACAGTAATCATAGTAGCAGGTCCTTGACTAACAAATCTAATCAATGCCTCTATGCTGCTCCTGAGATGTTGGGCACATTGTGGAAAGAGCAAGGGTTTTGAAGTGATGACGACCAGTGTTTCCCTCCATTTTCTTCCAATTATAAGCAAGTGGGGGGCAGAGTTGGTAAAGAATCTGCCTGACAATGCAGGAGATGCAAGAGACATGGGTTTGATCCCTGTGTTGAGAAGATCTCCTAGAACAGGAAATGGCAACCCACTCCAGTATTCTTGCCTGGGAAATCCCATGGACAGAGGAGCCTGGCCGACTGCAGTCCATGGGGTTGCAAAGAGTCAGACACAGCCAATCAACACATGCACAGCTTTGGACAAGTGACTTAAACTCTTTGTACCTCGACTTGCTCATCAATAAAAATGGAGACATTAATAAGCAGTGTGAAGATTTGTTGCATGCGTGCATGCTCAGTCACTTCAGTCATGTCTGACTCTTTGCAAGCCCGTGGACTCTAGCCCACCAGGCTCCTCTATCCGTGGGATTTTCCCAGCAAGAATACTGAAGTGGGTTGAAGATTTGTTGCAAGTACCCAATAAGGTAACTTTAAAAATGCCTCGTACTCTAGTCAAGGTATTATAGGTGGCCACCAACCATAATATATTGTTCTTCCACAAAATGTGTGGTTTCTAACAGGCATGGTGTTAGACTAAACTTTAGGATGTAAATGACAAGTTATTAAAAGATGACTACTATTATCTTATTTAATACTCGGTAACCTCCTACAGTAGACATGCTAGCACTATCAGTAGTCTATAGGTCAGAAAACTGGACTTTAGAGAGATTAATGCACTTACCAAATTCAAAACATTCATACATGGTGGACACAGGATGGCATGCCAAAATCAGTATGGGAAGACTGTGCTCTTAAAGTCATCACAAGGCCCCTTCTATAGAAGCAGCAAGTGGGTGGCACAGGTGTGTGTGTGTGTAATTAACTCAATGTACGCAAGAATTTAGTCGTTTCTATTGAATAATAACATTGATTATATCTCACATTTAAACAGCATATTTATATTTTATCAGGGTTTGAGTGTGTGTGTGTGTGTGTGTGTGTGTGCATAAAAGACAACCTTGCAGGGCAGGATTGAAGATTGAGGATTTATCCCTCATCTTTTAGGGGATAAAAGAAATTCTTAGAAAATGTAAGTAACTCTACTATATGTATGTGTGTGTGTAAATACACACACACACACACATATGTACTAAAATGGTGTCATTTGCTTTTGAATAATTAACTACTCATCTCTCTAATGGGCTTCCCCGGTGGCTCAGATGGTAAAGAATCTGCTGGCAATGCAGGAGACCTGGGTTCCATCCCTGGGTCAGGAAGATCTCCAGGAGGAGTAATTCTCCAGTATTCTTGCCTGGATAACTACACAGACAGAGGAGCTTGGAGGGCTACAGTCCATGGGGTCACAAAGAGTCAGAGATGACTAAGCATATATGCACAACAAGGAAAGTTATATATCACCCACTAGCATCGCATGTGGGAGGTTATTGCTGGACTGTGGACAGAAAGACCTGGCCAGTAGCTTCATCTGAGTGTCTTATTAATCTTGCAGACTTAGGAGAATCATTTAAACATGCTCAGTGTCACCTTTTTAGCTAAACATGGATATAAAACTTTTATTTAAGTTTCTTACTTCACAGGGTGAAGATTACTTTGCTCTATCACCAGCAGGGATGACTCCTCAGGACTCCCTCGACTCCTTCAAAACTAATTTAGTCCTCTTGCTTTCTAATCCCAATGCCTTGTATTTAGAATTTCCTGCCCTATCTATCATTTAGGACTGATTACTCAGTTAGACTATCTTCACAGGTTAGTTTTCATTTCTCCCCAGCTACTCTGCCTCGGATTATTCTTCTCAAGGTCATGTTCTACAGCCTGAGGACACTTGCCATTCCCTTCTCAGCTCAGTCCTGAGGAAAATATACGACAGCAAACTCAGACGTCTGGGCTGCCTCTGGTTTGAGAGAATGATCTGGACATGCTATAAGAGAGATGAGAGAAGGGAAAGATGAGGAAAAGAGCAAAGTTCTGAAGTTAATGATAGAAACCGAGGAAAATGCAGGTGCAGGTTGGCTGTACACTCCCCTGGGGAGAAGATAAGAGCAGAATTTTCAGGAGGCAGACGTGCTTTCAAAATCTCACGTGACCCAGACATTTCCCATCCCAGCAGCCCAAAGATCACGAACAGACTTTATAAGAATTCTTGAAATGTTGCTGTCTCCTGTCTTCCTCTTCTCGTGTCTGTAATAACTGGAAAAAAATATGGTGGTAGTGGAAAGGCAAGGTGATTTGTTTAAAGGGAAATCTACTCTTTTCCCCCAAAAAAGTTACCCAGGTCTTAAAACTGTAATTATTACCAAGACCTAAATACAATGCCCTAGAAATTCTTACCTTTTTTACTTGAGTGGGCAGAATATAGGCAGATTCTATTTAAATTCAGATAACCCACTAGTCATGTATGGATGTGAGAGTTGGACTATAAAGAAAGCTGAGTGCCGAAGAATTGATGCTTTTGAACTGTGGTGTTGGAGAAGACTCTTGAGGGTCCCTTGGACTGCAAGGAGATGGAATCAGTCCATCCTAAAGGAAATCAGTCCTGAATATTCACTGGAAGGACAGATGCTGAAACTGAAACTCCAATACTTTGGCCACCTGATGCCTAGAATTGCCTCATTGGAAAACACCCTGATGCTGGGAAAGATTGAAGGCAGGAGGAGAAGGGGAGGACAGAGGATGAGATGGCTGGATGGCATCACTGACTCAATGGATATGAGGTTGAGTAAACTCTGGGAGTTGGTGATGGACAGGGAGGCCTGGGTGCTGCAGTCCATGCGGTCACAAAGAGCTGGACAGGACTGAGCAACTGAACTAAACTGAACCCACTAGTAAAGAGTCAAAACATGAGGTCAGGGGACTTCTCTGGGGCCAGCAGCTGCCTGAGAAGGGGCCCAGGGCCGCAGGCTCAGCCGACTAACCATGGGCCCTGGGTCAAACCAGCAGGTGACTGCGCCAAGAGGAGGCGGCCTCTGTAAGTGGCTCATCTTGCGCACGGGGTTCGGCTTCCTCTCCAGGACCTCCCGCACAGGGTCGCGCTCCATCCCCCCAGTGGATGCCTTTGTGGACCAGAGGAGGATGCACATGAGGGCTTCTGGGCCTGATGGAGGGTCAGGCTGTGGAGTTCACCTTTAAGAAGCCCGCCAAGGGCCTGGAATCTATCCGGGTCCTGGGCCCTGGTGGGGTGTTGTGTATTGGGAGCGAAAGGTGGCCCAAAGGGCAGAATAAGCAAAAACGCAGATCAAAGGGAGAGAGGTGCTACAACAGCGGAGGGCTAGACCATCACACCAAGGAAGGAAAACTGCCACCCCGGCCCAAGAAGTGCCCCTTCTGCCAGAGCATCCACCATATGGTAGCCTCTTGCCTAGGGAAGGCCCAGCGAGCTCCCAGCTCCCAGGGAAAGCCAACCTACCTTGGAAGGAGGAAGGAGAGAGCCATAGCCCCGCCCTGCTCCCAGACGCCCAGACCTGAGCCCTGGTGGGCAGGGCTATCCTTTTGCTATCAGAACGTTTTGAGGAGCAGGCATCAATGGGCAGAGTGGAGAAAGTGGGGACAGGGTGGGCAGGGGGCAGCTGGTACTGCCATATAGCTCAGGCCACGGTCCACAGCATCCCCACCTCTTCCCTCTTGGTGGGAGGAAGGGGTGAGACAGAGGAACTCCAACCATGCTCTGTCCAGATGTGCATGAGGGCTTTGGGGGTTATTCCCTGCATGCTTTGTCTGAACCTTCACTCCCAGAATCTCCAGCTTTTGAAAATGGCCTGGGTAGGGAAGTTGTTTTACTCTTAAAGAAAATGAATAATATTTCGTATTCTAGAGTGAAAAGATTAAGAGACCAAATTGATGCACCCAACTCACAAATCCTTTTCATCCTCAAGGAAATCAGTCCTGAATATTCATTGGAAGGACTGATGCTGAAGCTGAAACTCCAATACTTTGGCCACCTGATGTGAAGAACTGGCTCATTTGAAAAGACCAGGATGCTGGGGAAAATTGAAGGCTGGAGGAGAAGGGGATGACAAAGGATGAGATGGTTGGATGGCATCACTGACTCAATGGACATGAGTTTGAGTAAACTTTGGGAGGTGGTGATGGACAGGGAGGCCTGGCATGCTGCAGTCCATGGGGTCGCAAAGAGTAGGGCATGACTGAGTGACTGAACTGAACTGAACTGAACCCACAAGTCACTACATTCCCTGGGAGGAAACATCTCAGAGGGAGGCAGGGTTTTCCACGTCTTCTCTCCTCATACCCCCTCTTGGGATAGAATGCTGAGAACTGTCCCAAGTGCTGGGTTGTGATGACAGGCAAAAGGGGTGGTTGAGGAAACAACCGCAGACCCGCTGCTTCTAAGCTCACTCCCACCCCATTCTGGGCCAACGCAGTTATACTTACTTGCTCCTTTGGGTGACTGTACCTTGGCTCCCACTTTCTCCAGCTGTGTGTGAATGACGTATCTTGTGCATTTTAACTTTATTTTTCATAATATAAATATTCAGGTTTTGTATTTTTGTGTGTTTCAATCTAAGGCCCTCATTCCTGCATTGTGTCCTCAGGTACATGGGCAATTTCAGGGATAAGTTGGTAGCAGCTCTGGGTCTGCTCAGTAGGAATGCTTTTTGTTGCTGTATCACCAGAGAAAAAAATTATTTAGAGTGTAGAGCCTATTGAACTACCTCCTTTTTGCCAATTAGAGCTGACTTTTATGCCATAGTGTCCTGCTGAAACCCCTCCTTCTTCAGTGTCTCATGAGAGAAGAGGTTCCAACTGGGTTGCCCCATGGCTTGGTCTCCTTCCTACTGAAAGTTTGGAAATTGGTCTGAACAGGAAAACATGGTGCAGAGAGGTTAGGAGAGGCTGAGCCAGGTAAGAGGTACAGAGAGGGGAAGCCAAGAGTAGGCAAAGATCAAAACAGATGGGAAAACAGTGGAAACAGTGACAGACTTTATTTTGGGGGTCTCCAAAATCACATGCAGTCATGAAACTTAAAAATACTTGCTCCTTGGAAGAAAAGTTATGACCAGTCTAGACAGCAAAGCAGAGATATTACTTTGCCAACAAACGTCCAGCCAATCAAAGTGATGGTTTTCCCAGTAGTCATGTATGGATGTGAGAGCTGGACTATAAAGAAAGCTGAATGCCAAAGAATTGATGCTTTTAAACTGTGGTGTTGAAGAAGACTCTTGAGAGTACATTGGACTGCAAGGAGATGCAGCCAGTCCATCCTTAAGGAAGCCAGTCCTGAATATTCATTGGAAGGACTGATGCTAAAGCTGATACTCCAATACTTTGGCCATCTGATGTGTAGAACTGACTCATTTGAAAAGATCCTGTTTCTGGGAAAGATTGAAGGCCAGAGAAGAGGATGACAGAGGATGAGATGGTTGCATGGCATCACCAACTTGATGGTCATGAGTTTAAGTAAACTTCATGAGTTGGTGATGGACAGGGAGGCCTGGCGTGCTGCAGTCCATGGGGTCACAAGAGTCGGACACAACTGAGTGACTGAACCAAACTGAACTGAAAGAAGCTTATTTCAAAGTAGCCACAAAATTGTTTAATAGGAGACAGATGAATGTAACTCCATATATACTGCTAGAAACCAAAGCTTTGTATGAAATCTTGAATTTATGGGGAGGGAGGGAGGGTAGAAAAGCATGTACCCATCTGTTCTTTCCCTCCTCCCTTTTTCTCATTCCTGAATTTCAGGAGATATAGTCCCTTAGGCTTTGGTGACCCCATGTGGGCAGTATTTATTTGATGGCTGATTTTGCTGTGCCAGTTACCTCCTTTCCCATTTACTATCATTTCATAACACACACACACTGGCCCTTTTCCCTTCCCTTTCTTTTCCTTGGCAATATACAATGAATAAAAACTTATTGGTAGTGAAAAAAGAAAAAAAAAAAACATGAGGTCTGAGTTTCAAACAAAGCTAAAGAAATGGTAATGAATGTAGGTTTAATGTAGTTGTGGTTCAAATTTAATGAGAATAAGCAGGAAATAGATTGATGTATCTGTGAAACATCACTTCTTTTGTTCAGTGTGATTTTGTGGCAGTCAACTCAACATGTTTCATAAGTTCTTCTAAGATGTACATTTTTATTTTTTGACACTTCTGAAATTGGGATACATTTTAAAGCTGGCCACTTGAGTTACTTTACTTGGCATCTTTTTAATGACACAAAATAGCAGTGCATCTTAAAACTAGCTATTATAGTTAATGAAGTATGCTAGTAAATGTATGGTGAATAATTATTTAAATGGCACAGAAAGAGAAACCCATACAATTCATTTTAAGGTTTCAAAGTTTCAGTCAGTAGTTCTCAAACTTTGATGTACCTCAGAATCATTTGGAGGGCTCATTATAACACAAATTACTACCTCTTCCCACCAATTTCAGATTCAGTACCTTTACATTTAACGCTGATACTACTGGTCTGAGAGCAACTGCCATACATCATTTGAAAAAAAAGTAATTTTTTAATCTCAGTGTTTAGTACCATTGATTTAAAATTTTCAGTCAGACTTTTATGATGTCACACCTAGTAAATTAGCATTGCCTTCTAAATTTTCTCATTACTTCCATTCTCTTCTCATTCAGAACCATTTTTCCTATTAAAAAATAGTATTATCTGTTAGTACTTATCTTCTCAAAGTAAACACACACACACACCCCTTCATTTACAATTGAAGACTGTTCAGAGTCAGAGCATAATCTTCCTGAGGTAAGGCTACTCCTTCAATGGTTTGACCCTAGATTTAGCCCAAGAAACTTTTGTCCACCAATTCGCCTGTATATCAGCTTCTTCCCAACCTTTGCACCGATTTTTTGTTGCTCATCTAGAACATAAAAGTCTATGTTAGTCCAACAGACAGCCTTACAGACTCAGCACTAACACCATCTCTTCAATTTTCCCATGACTTCACTGAAAGAAACATTTACTACTTAAAAAAAAAAATTACTTCTTAATATGTGGTCCATTAACATTATTGTATAGTGTGTATTACATAGTCATTATGTGAGTTTTCTTATTTCTTCCCTCATTTGGACAATATCATTTCATGCTAAGATCATGTTTTATTTTATTATTTTCTTGAATGTTTAACAGAATCCTTGGCACATAGTTGGGACTCAATAAATGCTGTTACACAGAATCATATTGAAGCGAAGCTATATATCCTATTAAATTAGTGCTTTGGGGCTAATATGTATGCAAGTGGTCATTGTATACATATGTTTCTATTTAACTTAACCACAGTTTACTAAACACTATGTGGAAATTATTATCTGAGACATTGAAAAGAATAGAGGTGGACAAATACACAAGATCAATTAAGCAGTATGTGTATTTATTGAACACCTATAACATGTTGAGCACATCTGAGAACCTTTCAGAGTAAAAGGCTAATGATATTCTACCAAGCGGCAATGTTTGGAAGAAGCCTGTAAAATATTCTATTGAGTTAGAGCCTCAGTATTGCTTCTTGTAGTATTCCTCTGAGGTTTAAACAAAGAGCTATCCAAAAAGAATTAAATCATACTCACTGGGGCCAGAGGAAAGATGGTCCCCTCCAGACATGAAAGGAGGCAAGTGCATTTCAGAAATAAATGACTTTACATAGACACACAGGCCTCTTGAGGATGGAGCAGGCACTTCAGCTGGAAAGCTCTCAGACTAAATCAGATAGCAAAAGGTCAGGACTGACAAAAAGGGAACCTCTTCTAATTTTTTTTTTTTTTTTACATATTTCAACCTTAAGAAGAAACTACTTCAAGCCTCTTAATGACTAACTCAGTTTCAAGTGTAAATTGAAAAACGATAGGCCAAGACATTGCTATGGTTCAGAAATTCGGTAAACACATACTTGGCTTCAATACTAGCATGGTTAATTAAATAAAGTATTTTATTTGAAAACTGCAAAGGAAAAAGAGAAAAATAAAGCTTAAGGCACATTATCTGCTGCTCCTAACATCTATCAAGATTCCTAGATGGATTTTACATGGCAGAGTATCTCAAGTAGCCTCAAAAAAGGGGAATCT